GCTACATCATATCGAAATTTGGAAGAAAATCGATCAATATTTACAGAGATACAATCAATTTACCATAAATATGCTGACGTCATAATATTCAAATTCGTATTTGAGTTCCAAGGCCATTATGATGATGTCACGATACACTTAATGGCCAAATGAGACATGGAATCATATCTCCGACTCATACTCTATCTAAATATGAAAAAAATTGAAGGTCACGGCTCATTCCAAAGAGGTATAATGGATTTTGTATAGGCATGTTTTTTCCCATATATGCTATGTATTAAAAGAGCTCGCGCGCACGGACATTTATCTTGAATGGACGCTCATCTTGTTATTAATGGTCATAAAGAGATAAACATGGTATCAAATTCCTCGAAAAAATATGAGAAATATCATGAAAGAAAAACGAATGGCGATTCTATGTTGTGTAATGGTGTTACGCGCGAAAACGCGCGCGCATGCGCGTGTGCGCGATTTTTTATAAAATGCTTAAAATGACCTGAAACGTATGCAAAAAAAATTTGAGACAATTTTGAGCATTTTAAATTTTTGCGCGCTCATTAACGCGCGGACGTACGCGCACGCGCGCGTTTTTTGTCCTGAAATTGACCGGACTGATATTGACCTTGATCATGATAAATATGAATGAGAATTATATACACTTAAAATATTGTATCAAACCATATTATGTTCATGAAAATGTATGATGAAAAAAGAAAAAAAAAGATGCAGAAACCAATAAATCAAATCAAAAAAAAAAAAAAAAAAAAGAATGATCATGATAAATATGAATGAGAATTATATACACTTAAAATATTGTATCAAACCATATTATGTTCATGAAAATGTATGATGAAAAAAGAAAAAAAAAGATGCAGAAACCAATAAATCAAATCAAAAAAAAAAAAAAGAAAAAGAAAGAAATGGCTTTTGGTTATGAAGATATGACCATGAGTTGATTTTCAGAAAATTTCACAAAATGACGCCTAGATGACGTCATCAGTCAAGTTCAAGGTTGAAAAATTTTCTGTGATTTGTTCAAATGCCTATACATACGTGTGCCAAATTTCAAGGTATTTGATTGAACCATTTTTAAGTTATCTTGCTCACAAAAAAGTGGGTCGAAATAAGAAAAATAAAGAAATAAAGGCAATTTTAACAACATTATAAGGTGGTCTATTAGATACAGCCCACCTGATAATGCTCAAAGATATTCCCTTTTATATAGTTTATTAATGACTTCACTGAAATAATTTTTTTAATAAAGATATGTTTTATACATTATGAAATACTAAAGTTCTTTGTTGATTTTCTTTCGCCAGCTTCTTATTAAGACTGAACAAATAAGAAGGGTAGTAGAGAAAGGGATATAGAGAGAGAGAGAGAGAGAGAGAGAGGAGCAGAGAGGAAGAGAGAGAGAGAGAGAGAGAGCGAGAGAGGGAGAGAGAAGAGCAGAGAAGAGCAGAGAGAGGGAGAACGAGAGAGTGTAAGAGAGAGAGAGAGAGAGAGAGAGATGAAGAGAGAGAGAGAGAGAGAGAGAGAGAGAGAGAGGAAATGTTATATACCTGCGTCTCAGTAAATGGGATGAAGAATCTTATGAAGCCAAAGCGAATGAGAAAGTAAGCAAGTATCCATTAGTCCAATGATGACAATACATGACATGTTTATCATGTATTATTTTTGTAACTGTTCTGTATAAATGTTATAAATGATGTAAATATGTTCATTCAGGGCCCCATGGAAGAACACTACTTGTTGGTGAATGGGCTACCCTGTCAAAAGATTAGAAATAAATAAATAAATAAATAAATATCCGGAACTTAGACGACACCAGACCATCAGCCACGAACACATACTTCCCGTTTCCTTCCGGTGTGCTTGTACCTAAAGTGGCGGGTTCAGGATTCGAGGAGTGGAGGGGAGAAAATATATGTTACAGGGAAAAAAAAAGGTCGTCTGGTTTTCGGGTCGATATTTGGGCTAAATAAACATGATAACAAAGTCAATAATAATAATAATATTTAATTTTTATATAGCGCTTTACACAAAGGTCATCAGTAAAATATCTTTGTTTTCGAGGCTCACGTACGAGACCGATAATCCAATATTTCTTTGTTTTGTAGGTTTAGGTAATTTTAAACGTGTGTTTTGATGGTTCTTTTACCTGACTGCTAAGAAAGCATACATTAAAACAACCAGGGGATCGATGACTTTGAGTCCTCTCCGAGGGACTTGATAATGATAGGTAATGCCTTACCAAAGCGAACATAAGGATGTGTGAGCATGTGTGTGTGTGTGTTGGGGGTGGGGGGGGGGGGTATGGTGTGAATACTCCCTATGAGTGGAGAGAAAGCACAAATATTACTGGCTTGAAATCGACTTACCAGGAATAATCATAGGAAATCGCATTGATGGAATCAGAGGGCACTATATGAATGCATGGTATGAATGTCATTATAACAGTCAACGCGCATTAGTGATCATCTGTATAAACCGACCACCTGTTCTAATTGAAACGTGTACTACGAAAACCTATGCATTTACACCCTTCGCCTATAACGACCACAATAGGGACTTTTAGATTAGCATGTCGACATAGTGGACTGCTACGTGTGACGTCCTTTTAAGGCATTGGCAGTGCCTTAAAAGGACGTCACAGTCCCTTAAAAGGACGTCATACGTAGCAGCCTACCATGTCGGCGCGCAAATCTAAAAGTCCATAATCTCTCTCAATCTGTTACGGGAGAAGAAAAAACGCCATTTCTTTGCTTTGATATCCCCCCCCCCCCACACGGCCTATACTGCAACTTCATTTATATAAAGAGATGACACGGAATTGGGATTATCAACAAAGGCCAGCACTTTATTGAAAGAAAAAAAAATTGATTGTGACGACATAATAAACTTTTCACGGACAAGGCTCTCGGCTTATTTGTTATCATTCTACACACGGTCAAAGCTTTCAATGGTTTCCTTTTATACTCGAGGGCCGTATCTTTTTATGTTTGGAAAAACGATTTTAATCCTTATGGCAAAATGAAATTATGAAGAAATTTAGCATTGGTACTAAGGCAGATGCTTCTGCTAAGTTTACGCAAACGCAACCAGGGCACCGTTGCAAAACACTTACCATTGGTGGTAAATTCGCCATCATTGGCAACTACTCAAGGTTTCCATGGTAGTTACCATTGATGGCAAAGTTACCATCTATTATAAAGTTATATGCCATGTTTTAAGCAAACATTAGTCAATGATTTGTCCTAATTTTGATTTGTTATGACGGTTAGCATCATTTTTGTAACGTAATAGACAATATTGTTTTCATAATACCAATCCTAGATTTGAAAACGAGAATAATGATAATAATAACAATTCCATAATGATGAAGGTGATGATGATGAGGATGATGATAATAGTAACATCAGTAATTATAATAATTAATAATATCAATAGACGTAATAATAATAATTATAATACTAATACTAATACTAATTATCAACAACATACTACTACGAATACTACTCCTCCTCCTCCTCCTCCTACTACTTCTACTACTACTACTACTACTACTACTACTACTACTACTGCTGCTGTTGCTGCTGATGCTACTACTACTACTACTACTGCTGCTGTTGCTGCTGATGCTACTACTACTACTACTACTACTAACACTATGTATAGCAACTATAATAATTATTGTCATAATAGAAGTATCGTTATTAACGGAAACGGTCTGATTTTTATGCTTGCCAATCCTAGTGAACTTCATCGCCGTAGCCCTCATCGAGAGATTTCATTCATAAAAAGGCTATCGTGAGCTAATTAACATAATGGTTTCGCTCGTTGCCATGGGACCGTCACAAACCACCAGTCTCACCACCAGTGCACAAGCAACGGCGCTTCGTGAATGGATTCAATAGCTCGTTATATGGAAAGGGCAATTATATATGTATATATATCCGGACCACACGCACTTGACTTACCGTGGGAGAGAGCAACAATTCTACATAAACACTATAGTAGACATAAGATCATTTGAAACTTCATTGCTTGTAGGAAAGCTTTCACAAACAGGATCTACTATCGTCTGAGCAGGTAATATCAATAATAGTCATATTTGATAATAATAGTATCCTGTGTATATGAATAATGATGTGTTTTTGCATAAGTCTGCACGGTTGTTGATATTTCAATTTTGTGACAATACACAACTGTGGGCTAGCCTACATATATCATATATATAAATACAAGAGTTGAATAAGCCAGCGAGATGATCAACCCGACAATAGGCCATTTTCGTAATGTAATCAAGTTTAATGCAGAAATCTTTGTCAACTGCCTCGATACAAAGGATTATATTCTCGTGTAACGAATAATTTGGTGTCTATAAAATGCGAAATATATACTTTATCAGTTGCCAGGTAGGAGAAACATGTTGCATTCTAACTATTGAAATATATTTATTCATTACTGGTTTGTACGGTGTTTCTTTCTATTTTTCTCACTATTTATTTCCTGTATATCATTCATTTCCTCTATATATTGTATTTCTTGGTACCACCAACCCACTACTACTCACCCCACACATAGATTTGCATGTAACATCCATATACGTTGATGTATGTGTTATTGTTTAATTAAAAATAAATAAATTGTATTTTGATATTATAATTTTAAGCAGGTTCATCTTTTGTTGTAATGCTTTTGTATTTGATTGTAATTTATACTGTCTTTATGAATCTGTGGAAATAAAGGAAATTGAAATTGAAATCAGTGAATGTAATATTAATATTGAGGCCCTTCACAAGGATGTATGTATTACATCTGGTTAGATTGAGAAAATCGTCTTTGGTAACCGGGGACATGAGATCTAAATCAGGAACTATTGTAGGTAGTCATCATTCTGCTCGTCATCACTAAATTCCCATTTTTGGTATTTACTACCACATTTACCTAATCATGGAGAATTCTTCAATGTTTATTTGACAGTGTCTGATGGTTTCTCATAAACATGGGGTCTTCAGCAAGTACCAGAAGGATTTCGTCAGCCAGGAAAGTTGAAGGCCCTTCCTCACTCAACGAAGTACATGCTGGTGGACCACTAGCGGAAGGGCAGAGCAAACCGTTGACCAAAGACGATGCTGTTGTAGTTCCAGATGAAACCGATGGCGGTCCTTCACAACCGAAAGCGATTGCTTCACCGAACTCCAATGGAAAAGCGGATGCTCAGAATGTCGCGATTCAGCAAGAAGGCACTATCGACGATGCTTCATCGGGGACATTGACAGACATTTCAGATATTCTTCTCGTTGACTCTGCAGCTGCTAAAGCAAAACGGATCGAAGAGTTCAGTGACGAGGTAAAACAATGCCTTACCCTTGTCAAAGCCAATATCAAGCACATTCAGGATTGTAAATGTTTCCCATGTACCTCGTGTCTTGAACGGATGGATGCCATCCGCACAGTTTCATATAACGACGACCTTGATCTGAGCGCTGTAGCGGATGGTTTGGGCATTGACACGGACTACTGCAAAATGTTTGCTTATACGTGGAAAAAGGGAGATATGGTACAGAAGCTTGAGGACGCTGATCAACAAGAAGAACTATCACATGAGCTCACACACATGTTCACATTCTATAACGCACTGCTTGGTTCCGGTTGGAACTTTACTGATGAGTCTGATTACTTCTGTTTACAAATGGAAGAAGATGGATGCCTGTCTTTGATTGTCGATTGGTTTTTACACCTCGTGAAGAGTGATACGGCGATGAACAAATGGGTAGATGCAATGATTTTTGAAGCGATAAACATGTTTCAAAACGCCTTCAGAAGAGTGCCGACTCTGACTCCCAAGCATCATCGGGCAGTGCCTGCCTTGCAGAAATTTGGCGAGTCGGAAGACAGCTTGACACAGACAATGGCATTCATGACGTTGGCAAAGCTGGTGAAGAAAGAAGAGGCCGACAAGCTTTCCACCAACTACACCTGCATCGTATCACTACTTTCGCTGCTGAAGAAATGTCTCTCCAATCCTGATCATAAGGCAGAATCACGCCGAAAATCATCCAAGGAGAAAATTGGAAAATCTATTATTATTCATGCAGAGGAGTTAGTTAAATCAGTAGATGATCTGGCAATCAACGACAACAACAAACGGCTGATAGTTGAAAAGGGGGGCATTCCTATCCTCGCTAAATTGCTCCAACAAGATTGTTCCGTGGAGGAGAAGACTTCTGCCGCCAACGGAATCTGGAGACTAGCATTTCTCAAGGAAAATAAAGAAAAGCTGCGAAAAGAACAGGGTATTATCTACAGTAAGCAAACATTCTCTGCATTATTCATGATCATAATAACATGGGAGCGTAATGTTAACAACTGCATATGTAAAACGTATGATGTTTTACTTAAATTATTACCATTAGCGTTCGATGTGTCCTCATAACGAAACTTGACAGACAATTACGATGGATTTATGTTTTGGCTTAAGTTGAAATCATATGTGTAAGAAATGGTTGGAGGGGCGTAGCCCCCAATACATTTGGGTAACCACAACGAAATGTACACCAAGAATAAGGGAGGGGAAGGAAAGGAGGGGGGGGGGGAGGGTTTGTAAAATGTTGTAATTTGTAATTGAATTTTTAAAATGATGAGTAAAAAACAAATTAAGTTTATGAGAAGGAGTTTTCATAATGAACATACCTACCATGGGCATTAGTAACATCAAATGATGTGCAGTGACATACTAGGCCTACACGGAGTGAATATTTTCTTGCAACCATTGTACGAAAGGAAGCATTATTTGTGTTCAGAGATGGAAGGGCGTGAATAGCGTTCTTAAGTTACTGCCCTTCTGGCCTGAAGCAGACGCTATCATATTTTCTTTTCTTAACAAACAAGATCTGACGGAGAATTCCCAGAGTAAAAACGAAAATCTCCGCAATGCTTGTATGGGCGCTCTCTTCGAGATCTACGAATCCAAACTTCCCGAAGGCCTGACCCACAAGAAAACAGATGTCGAGTCACAGCAGAGGGCGCCGTCGGACAGTGCGAAGTCCCGTGGACACATCATGCTCAGCTACAAATGGGAACACCCGTCTAAACCTGTGATGCGAGAGTTCAAGAAACAGCTGCGAAAAAGAGGCTACAACGTGTGGATGGATGAAGACCACATGAGTAAGTTTATCTGCAAACACTTTTCTTAGGAAGATTAATAATTTTCAAACATGACGTGAATCTTTATCCTAATGCATGTCTCGTTGTTGTCTTTCATGCAAAGTTGCAACAGGTAATTTAAGCTGGTGAATTCCGAAGATGGCTGGAGCAGTTGATTACAGGAAATTCTCTTTTTAATACTATTTTCTCATATGACGCTTACTTCTGTACCACATGGCTGTGGTAATTGCATATACTTCAGATTTCCCTCCCCAAAAACTAGAGCTTGATTATCCATGATTATTCTTCTTCCTTCTCCTTCTTTTTTGTCTTCTTCTTCATTCTTCTTTCTTTTTATCCTTCTTTATCCTGATTGTCTTCGAATCTATCAGCCTATCTCAAATCTTCCCTACCTCGGCAAGAACATCGAGCGAATTGTATGCCAGCTAGCAACTATTGACCTTTCTGAGGGACAATGCTCTGCTTGCTCCGAGACAGTCAGCTTACAGACCAACATTTAGTATTGAAACTTTTGAAAACCCTTGAAAATGAAAGTGGTTGTCCTCGATCTTAGCTCAGCTTTTGACACTGTAGATCAAATCATCTTGCTGAAGAGGCTTTCACATGTGTTGTAAAAGAATGGCTTGCCTCCTACCTGCAAGGAAGGGAACAGCGAGTACTCGTTGTTTGTAAGACGTCAAGCTCTGAAGGGGATGGGGAGTACCACAGGGGTAAATGATAGGGCCACTGTTATTTATCTGATGAACAAATCTTCTTTAGGGTATTGCAGAACCGCACAACGATGAGTGTACTATGTATGTTGACGACCTGCAGTTGTGCACAGCCAAGAATCCTGCTACAAGACATGAGTCAAAAGAAAGACTAGTGTTATGTATCAGTGAGATTCTTAATTACGTTAAGGATAACATGCTTGTTATCAATGATGACGAAACTTAAATGATTAATTTAACATCATACATGAATCGTGGCCCTCAACAGGAACTCTCTCCACTCATGGTTGGTGACATATCCATATCTCTCTTCAACATCGGAAAGATAAGAAATCTCCTCGACAATCACACAACTGAAATCTTTGTCCATTCCTTCGTCACCTGTCTTCTTGATTCTTGTAATTCTTTCCTCATCAATCTCCCCAATAAAGACATCGCCAAATTTCAGCAAATTAAAAATTCAGCTGCCAGACTAGTTTCTAAATTAACGAGCCAAGAGCACATCAATCCCAATCTACGGGAACTACATTGGCTGCCCATATCCCAGTACAAAGGCATCCTTCTAACTCTTAAGGCAATTCATCAACTCTGTCCTAGCTACATATCTGAACTTGTTACACCTCACGTACCCACTCGATCCCTCCGCCCTGCATCTCAACACTTCATTGAACCCACGAACGAGAGGAAAAAGTTATACGGTTCCAGAAGATTCTCACAATTATACAGCTTTGCGTCGTTGGACCTCTCTCGCCCTACATTCCGAACCACCACAGACGTTCTTTAAATCACAACTGAAATCTTACTTGTTCAAAAACGCTTCATAATGACATTTAACCTGCTTTCATCAAAATTTAATTCATTTATTTTACCTTATCATAGTTTGCTTTCATTTCTCTGTAATTGATGTTGATAATGATTGGTTATGATTGATCTTGGCATTAATTAAATATTTCTAATAGTTCATGAATTAGTAGTTATCTGATATTGATATTTTTTCTTAAGATGAGATGCACTTTAGAAGCCAGGTTATTGTTATTATTATGACTATTGTTAATCCTATTTTCCCCAATTTTTCTCCTTTTCCTTTTTACCTCTTTCCCCCTCTTTTTTCATTTTTTCTTCTTCTTTCTTGTCTCAGTGGGTGATAAAATCGGTGCCATGGCAGAAGCCGTAGAGAATGCTGATATGATCATAGCTTGTATCACACGTGGTTACCAAGACAGTCAAGACTGCCGTACAGGTGAGAAAAGATTTACCTCTTCTTCTGATCAATGCCAGTCGTCCATGTGCAAAAGGTCATAATTCGCTGACACCAGACTTGGTGGAAATACCTTTGATGGTTGTACAAGTCTGCCACAGCATAACCGTTGTTCAATCAAGAAATACCCTCAGAGAGTCTACGAGAGAGGAAAATGTAAGAAATTGACTTTACATTATGAGGGAATGCAGAGCATAAAATAGGGCCTGTAGGTCATACTACTGAAGGCTAATCCTAGTAACTGACAACGTAGGTTATTACTTAAACACTCGATTGGTGTCGATTTCTCTATGAGAGCCCATTAATTGGAATTTTTAACCTATCACTTGCCGGGGTGCTCATTGATTTACCTCTTCTTCTGATAGACATCAGTTAGTTCCATCTGCAGAATGCCATAATTCACTGGCACCAAACTTGGCGGAAATACCAGTAATCGGTGTACAAGTATGCACACACACAAAAAAAAAAAAAAAAAAAAAAACACGCGCACGCATACATGTAAACGCCTTCAATCGGGGAGGTAGGCAAAACACCATGAAACTGTGGAGGTAATAAATATAGGCTTTATAAGCAATATTTTATCAAATTTGAGGAAAGAAAATCACAATAAGCCCATTCCAATGTCAAAAGATACTAAAAAACGTTTACTTCTTCTTACACATGATTCGTCTGAATTTGAGCTATGAAAGTGCGGTGTCTGCATCTAGTCATTGTCAATCGGGGAAGTAGGCATAAGACCTAGCAAACGTGGAGTTTGTCGATTTTTATCTTTTCCTTGTAAACTTCGAACTAACTCATGCAAAAAAGGATATTATTATGTTTGCTTGTATTTAAAACAATGAAGGCAATACTGTCTTTCAAATCTTAATTTCCACAATATAATATCAATCTTAGAAACAAGAGTTATGGTCAACAGTTGACCGTTGTGTATCATGTAAAAAGTCTTGATAAATATGATCTTGATTTACTGTATGGAAGCCAGTGGCGGATCCAGCCGGCGGGAAGAGGGGGGGGGGGGGCCCAATCCGTGAGAAAATATTAGTTGCGACTCAGCCGTCGGTGAATAAGCGGGGGGGGGGGGGGTAGGAAGCATTTTTTGGGGTGCAATTTTTCAGGAAATATTTTGCGCCGACTTAGTCAGCCGGTGAATAAGCGGGGGGGGGGGGGGGGGGGGGGGGATGAGACCACTATTTTTTGTGTGTGACCTAATTCGTGAGATTTTGTTGTTGTTGACCCGTCACCCCCCCCCCCCCGTGGATCCAAGCCTGCAGAGGATCCAGCCGGCGTCAATGGGGGGGGGGGGGGGTAGCCAAATCTTAATACAAAATTTAGTGCCGTCTCAGCCGGCCGGCGAATAAGCGGGGGGGGGGGATGGGGCGCTTTTGTTTTTTTTTGTTTTATAAAGGTTAACTTTACGTTATTATCCTTTTTTTTATCGTTTTGGGGGGCTGGGGGGGGGGGGGGCCGGGCCGGAAAAATCGCTACGTGGATCCGCCCCTGATGGAAGACATTACAAATGTAATCCTAGGAATCCCAACATCAGTTCCACTTACTCAGGTTCAATAAAAATGTTGGCTTAGCTTTTATCAGTGTCAAGAGATCAAGGTAATTTAAAGGGATTGCCCATGAACTGTCACACTATATTGTGTGGCTCAGAAAGAAAGAAAACCGGATATTTCCAATTACAATGACATAATGACTCAAAGTTGATGATCTTGACATCATTTTTTATCATTTCGAAAAAGAATGATCTTCTTAATGAAGTAAGAATTAGGTCAATGATGAAGTTGTAATTGTAGATCCCAGGTGTTCCGTTCTTTCTAGCCCCCCCCCCCCCATGTATATAAAAACCATTATTCTATCATAGGGATATTTATATTTCTTTATTTTTGTTTTCGGGGGGAGGGGGAAGATTTCGGCAATTCAAGGAAAGAATACAATTCATATTTGTAAATGTTTTTAAATTAATCGTTATCACTAGTGGTATAGAGTTTGGATTAATATCATTGCTTCTTTGTATGAGATTCCTTTTGTTCTCTTACTATCATCAAAATATGTTTGTAACATTTATTCTTTCTTATACATGTTTGCATTTTGACGTATCGACTTGTGAAAATGTTATGTTTTGTGAATAACGTTTATGTCTTTTGAAGAAAGAAGACACATATACAAAATAAAGATTGAGCTTGTTTGTACTATATTGCGTACTGATATGTCTTCATTATTTTAACTGTAAGGAATCACTATATCGCAAATGATGTTACAGTGCTTGCACACGTTGAAATTATTAATAGATAAGCTGGGAAAGATATAATGAAGGAAATTAACTTTAATAATTCCACTGTACGTACCAACGGAACTTAATGACACCACCACACAAAAAGTTTGCAAAACTTTCTCCTGTGCTCCTCTCTTTCTCTCTCTCTAACTATATCTTCATTCAATTTAAGGACGAAACTGTCATCTTTTTCAACATGTTTTAACAATTCCTCGATCAATGTGGTATCAAACCACTTTCCCTGAATATTTTCTTTCCTTTCATCCTCGAATTCTATTAAATTCTTTAACACACCTCCTGCAAACATATACATACTTGCCACTATAAAATTGGATATAATTACAGTTTTAAAACTATGCAGTATTATCTAGCAAATCATTTTCTTTCTTAATTTTAAAATATGACTTATGTTAAAGAGGGAAAACAAAAATCACAGAATTATCATGTTATTTCTATAAATATCTCATACACCAGCAGGTGTATTGTACTACAGAGGAAAAAGACGAGATAGAATCAAATAAATGCCAATTGTAATAAACAATAGTTTATCTTCTTTGAATTTCTGTAAAATATACTTTATTTCGATACAATTATTTGACAGTCTTCAAAGGCACATGCAAATCATGAAATTTACAAGAGACAAGTTAAACACGTCCAGCGATGATATGCAATTAGGAGTTAAGTCCGAACGTGTACATAAAAAGGGCATTAGTACCAATCAATACAATTGAACCACAGGCATTGCACCACATTTGCAAAAATCTACAGATTAAACATGCATGTAGTAGAAAAATGTCTTATAATTGTGATTACGAATAAAGAATTATTTCTAACATCACCTGGGTAAAAGAATGGTGCAATATTGTGAAGTTGACATTGCCACAGAAAATGAGGTTAGAATACAAACGAAGGCAAAATAGATGATATTGATATCATTTACTTGGAGAATTGATCAACTCAGCCTACGCATATTTCATGATTTCTTTGAGGTCTTGTTAAAATAACAGATCATATTACTGTTCATTCTTGGCCGGCCATCCTTAATTTATACACATGTATAGTATATTTGTGTGTTTGGAATGATATGAAAGGTTGAGGCATAAAATGAATTCTGCCACTTAAATAAATGGGGTTTACTACCGCAAAATCCCCAGGGATTCTAAAAAAAATCTAGAATTCTAAAACCTAAAAACAAAACCCACCTCAAACCATAACAAGAAATTAAGCAACCAATTAATGAAAACAAAAGATAACATCTGTAACAACTTTGAACAACATAACTCATAACTAGAAATGAAGAAAAAAAAGAGCCCACTGCTGTAAACACACAGCAAGAAAGCCAAAAGCCCTCTCTTGGATCCAGGCAAACAAAGTCTCCTTGAATATTAAACAAAAAAAATAATTAAATGTTATTTAGCAATACTCCCATCAGCCATAATTGAACGCTTTACAAAAAATGATGCTTTACACACATACCAAACACGACATGCAACACGTACAAACTATCATCCTCCCTAACCAGGGCAGTTTTCGCCATAAAAACTATTTCATACACAGGACCAAACTACTGAAGCACCATTGATCCGAATCTCAAATAGCTTAAGAACTGTTGCAGCTTTAAAAAACATATCAAATTGTTAGTATTAAATTTGTACATGTAATGCACAAGTATACTATTTTTTTCTGGACTGTGACTCCCGACCTTGAATATTCTATTCTAAAAACTTCCTTTTCTCTCTCCTCATTCTTCTCCTGACCCCCATGCTTTACCTTCCCTTCCTAGTTCTCTTCTTTCTTACATCCATCATCCATATCATTTCATTGTTTTATCTGTATACTCTGATTTTGTATCATCATACTTCTACCTTATAATGAATGACACTGTGTCAACATTATTTTGAGGAACTTAAATTCTACAAGCTATATGCTTTTGATTAAGTTCCTTTTTTCACATGTAATTTCGAAATTATTTAGTGTGAAATAAATGAAACTAAACTGAAACTGAAGGTCAAGAGTCACTACTGCTCTCTAAGAAAATAGCAGCCCCTAGGTAGAGTACTAGCACACCACACAGTTTGCTAGAAAGTCCTGATTTATATACCATTTTATTTTCTTTTGTTGTAAAATCATGTGATACATATAAATATGAATGCGTTAGTATTTGAGGGATAATTCCCTTTTCAGTCTGACAAAATTAATAATATCCATTTTTCCAAGTTTCTCAAATATTATATATGAATATTTGTCAGTGGTAACAATAGTACATTCCAAAGATACCATTTAACATGATGGAGTTTGATTTGGGGGCAAAATGGATGTAAAAGATTCCAGATATTAGTTTGATGAACATAATTACGTAGAGTTTAACAGTACCTAAGGTTAAAAAAGCTACACAGCATATCTGTTTTTTACATTCCTATCATAGCATCATCATTAGTTGTGTGCTATACATTTAACACAAATCTGACGCAATACAAATTTGTTGGAGAAGCCAACTTTTGAACAATGATGAAGAATGAAGGAGAACTCACTGACATCACAAATCCCCCCCCCCCAAAAAAAAGGGACCAGGGATGAAATTGAATCAGCAAGAAGTAAGGTGAATCATATTAATATTGTAGGTTTATATGATTATACTGGAACCAACCCTTTATTATAGCCCTTTTTATTTGTTTTGTTGCAAAGGTATTACAAAAAAAAAAGGTTTTGGGTCCCCGACCCCCATCACAACTAATTATTCACATTACAACCATCATCTATAGTCTAGTGCTTAAACACTAAATTGACATATTTTATGTATGTGGGAAATCTGAGAATAATATTCAGATCTGTTCTTATTAATTCACAACAAACATACATTCGGTTTACTTTTTAAAGGGGGCACTGATCATTGACTCCCCCTCTATTTTTTGCCACAATTATACTAA